GGGGGCCACCAGCAATGCCCTCCTCTCCTTCAGCCAATCCACATTCCCCCCATGGAAGATGACCCAGGGAGGGAGGAGAGGAGAGGGGGGAGGAGGGAGGGGGCTTGGCCTGCAGTGGTTTGTGCAGAGACAGCACCTCTGGACTCGCTCACTCAGCAAAAGCTGGTGGTTCCTGAGCCAGCAGCTTCTGAGTGGCTGTGGCTGGGCTGAGGGTGGGGGGCTGGGCCAGGCTACCGATAACAGTGCGGAAGTGGAGGGGAGGGGGCTCAGGGGGCCCACACAGGAGGGAGGAAAGACAAGACCAAAAAGCCCTGAGATTCAGGATTGATGAGGGGAAAGTGTGAAAGGCAAGGCTGGGGACTGGTCCTCCCTCCTTGTCCTTTGGACCCTGGGACAGTCACCAAGCAGCCCCTCAGCCTCAGTTTCCCCCAGGGTAACACCAAGGAACTGGGCACCCAGGAACCCCAGCAATGAGCCCACTCCTAACCCTTCACATGGCCCTGTCCAGCCAGCCAGCACAGCTGGCCCTCTGCTTTGACACTGGCCCAGGCGTGGCCTCGAGGCTTCTTGGGCTGGGTCCTACCTGGCAGGGACTTGGGCTTTGATGAGTAAAGCAGAAACACATCCATTGCTTCATCAACAGTGTGTGTACCATACAGGGTCTTCCTAATCCCTTGTTCCCATGTGTGACACCGTTGTCCCATTCTTTTGGAACCCTCCCCTACAATACCTGGGAGTCCCTGAGGCTTGAGGGGCTGTGGCAGTGCTCTGGTGGCCCTGGGCTGTGTCTGAATCCAGGGGACTTACACTACGCTAGGAGCGATACAGGGTGCTCTGCCCATGCCATCTAGTTTCAAACTCTCAACAGCAGTAGTGGTATTGTCTCCATTCTACAGATTAGGGATGGAGTCTGAGAGAGGTGACAAAACTTGGTCAGGGTCACACAGCTAGCTGGTCGGTGGCAGTGCTGGGACAAGTGGCTAGGCCTTCAGCCCAGGCCCAAAGCTCCCAGTGGTTGGGGGGTGTGAGTGTAGAATTAGCACTTCTGTCGTGGGTACAGGATGTTGGGCCCAGAGGGACTCAGGAGGCTCTTCCTTGACTGTAGCAGAGAAATCTGACCCAATTCCTGCCCCAACGGGCTTCCCAGCCTCTGCTCAGGCCCAGAAACCACCCCCGGGGGGAGGGCCAGGGCTGGGTGAGGTGTAACTGAGAGCAGAGGCCAGAGGTGGGCAAGCCCGAGGCCATGCCAGGCTCTGAGCTGGGGTCCATGTGAGCTCCTGGGAATGTCACGGACACCTTCTGCACCTGCTTCCCACCTGGGGATGGGGGTTAAAACCTGCAGGAGGTGCACTAAGAATTGAATGACAAGTCCCTGGACACGGCACCGGGTAAAGGTGTGCAGCCCACAGCCACGTTTGGCAGACATCGCCCACCCCCCATGCCTGCCAGACTTTGGGTCCCGCTGCTGAAACCTCGGCCCTGGAAAGTTGTCCCCACTGGCGGTCTGGCGATCAGGGGCTGGGGACTCAATCAGGCGGAGGTAGCAGATCCCACCTCAGTGTTGCCCACTTTGATAGAATGAGCAAGAGCGAGAGCCCAAGGGTGGGGGTAACCCACAGAGACAGCACAGGGCACAGACAGGGTCCCAAGTCCCAGACACCCAGACTCCGTGCCTTTCCCTCTGCAAGGACCACCCTGCCATGCCCCACACCCCTGCCTAGGAGAAGACTGCCGCCGGCCCCTCCCAGGAGGGCCAAACTTTGTCCACCAGTGTGGTCTGGGCCTCTGGCCACAGTGAAAGTCTCTAACTCTCCTGCTGGTCCCAAGGGCATGGGCTGGGGATGTGGCCGGACAGCCCCCATCAATTTCCCACAGGCCCTCACTGCAGCCCATTTCCAGGGGGATGGGACCCTATTCTGCTGCCAGAGGAAACAGTGACCCTGAGCGGCCCCAGACAGTCTCTGTGACGCCCTCCCCTCCCCTCCCCTCCCCTCCC